GGGTGCTCCGAGCGCCAGGGAGGGCACTGTAGTCAGCGCGAGTAGGAGCCTGGTGCAGGCTATGCGGGCACGGGGAAGAGACTCCCGTGCGGGCTACGTGAGCACAGGCAAGAGGCCCAGTGGGCAAGGGCACAAGAAGCGCAGCACAAGGGTGCGAGAAGCACTGTAGGCCCAGTGGGCATGGGCACGAGAAGCGCGGCACAAGAAGCACGAGGGCACGAGAAGCACTGTAGGCCCAGTGGGCGTGTGCGTGAGAAGCGCAAGTAGGCCCATGCGCGGGCTAGGTGCGAGAAGCGCGAGTAGGCCCCAGTGGGGCATAGGCCCAAGAAGACGGGGCTGGGGGGCCAGGTAAGGCTAAGGCTGCCTGAGCCCCAACTGGGAGAAGCCTGAGTTGGGCATATGACCCTAGAAGGGGTCTGGGGCCGGGTAAGGCTGAGGCCACCTGAGCCCTGAGTGTGAGAAACACGAGACTAGGCCCTTGTGCGGGCAAGGCGCAGGAAGCACGAGCAAGGCCCGAGTCCGGCATAGAACCCTAGCAGGGGTCTGGGGCCAGGTGAGGCTGAGGCCGCCTGAGCCCCGAGCGTGGGAAACGCAAGTATAGCCCCAGTGCGGGCAAAGGCGCGCGGGAAGCGCGGGCGTAGGCCTGAGTCGGGCGAGAAGCGTGGGAAGCGCGAGTACAGGCCTGAAAGCGGGCAAGGAGCGCGGAGAGCGTAGGCATAGGCCCGGGTGCAGGCCAGGGGCGCGGGGAGCGCTGGTCCAGGCCCGAGAGCTGGCATACACGAGGAGGAGGCCCCAGCAGGGCATGCACATTGAGAGAAGGCCCAAAGGGACGGCGGGCTACTTGGAACAGTTGGGAGACAGGCTGGCGGGGGCCAGTATAGGGAGTAGTCCTGGAAGTGCGGGTTTAGTAGATCCGGCCCCGTGCCAAGGAAGTCTGGAAGGCAGCCTCCCATTGATACAATATTAGATCAAAGACGTGGCGGGCGAGACAGAGGGTGCGTCCAGGACCCAGACTTGGCACGGTAGGCAAGGGCGCTAGGGGAGGTCATGGCACCCCTAGGGCATCCTGCCACATCTACTCTTTGGCTAGAAAGGTCTGGCAAAAATGCTTTAGAAAATGGATGGGAGGCAGATATTCTTTCTAAATATATGCATAATGCTTCAAACTGAGATCAGTCCCACTTTAAGGCTATGGCTGACTCTCATTCTGATTTGTATCTGTGTGTAGCGTATCCCCAAAACACATGTTGGCAGGAGACTTCAGAGAGGAAACACAACTGCAAAATTTCTTTCTTGTATCACTCCCCACAATGCATTTTCTTACCAAGGAAGTCACCCACATATTTGCTTAAATAACAGGCTTCCAACAGTTTACCCTTGGGTCAGGCATGGTTCAAGCATTCCATACAGATGGAAGTAGCAGATTTTCTACAAGTTAACAATAGGGTAGTCTTACCAGCAATCCTGTTGGAAACCCTAAAAGTACTTAGTTGGGGAATGAAATGGTTTAATTTAAAAGGAAAATACAATGGACAAAGGAGAATTCCTTTGAAACCTGCAGAGGAGATTTAGAAACTGTAACTTATTGTCCCAAAAATATAGGATAAAACTAAACCTGGCAAATGAAGATGGCAAACTGAAAAGCTACGCAGATTCTACAGTTTCTACGTTTCTCTATGTTGTCTCTCACCACTATTCTTGTTTGTGATTTCATGCTTTTGATGTGCAGTTGTCTCCTCCAGCTTATCGCTGAACTCTGAGAAACAAGATGTACTTAATTAGTGAAATAGCATCTAATT